TCAAATATCTTATGATATAGCAAGAGGATTTTTGAGTGCTTTTTTGACAACCTACAAAAGTCTTCGTATTGGTCAAATTGTACACATTTGAGGGCAAATTTGAGCACTTCATAAGCCAAATGATAAGCCCAAGAATGAATGCAAGTGTTAGCATAGGTATAAGAGTAAGCTTGCGCCTAAACCTGAATCTAATTTGGGCAGGAGAGGTTAAAAGTATGGGAAATTTGTGAAATATTTGTGTGAAAGACAACGAAATTCTACGAGCGATTGATTCTTGAGTAATTGACAAAATTTTCGTTTTGTTTCATGATTGCTGACAATGAGAAGTTTTTGATTTGTGATCGGATGATTTTTGACTTTTGAATTGTAATTTCAAGGAGAGAAGATCAAACAGTTTAGTTGTTTGATTGTTGCAGGCATCTTGGCTCGTATCGAAACAATAAAGAAGATGGCGAAATAATGGAAACTGTCATTGATATAAGGTTGATGATTGAAGTTTTGAATTGATGACGAGAAATGACTTTTCACGTGAATAGTTTTATGAACGAGTTGGGGATTTTCTAGTTATGTGAATGAAAAATACTTAATTTAGGAAGACAATAAATGTCCCCATTCCTTTTTTAAAATGCTTATAGGGAAATGAACATAAGTTATTGTCATATATGGAGACTGCCATAGAATGCTGATTATGAATTTAATTCTTTCCTTCAATGTAATTCATAATGCGACTAATTTTTGACTTTTCATTCACATTTCTAAAAAATTTAACGTCAAAAAGATGAATTCTAAATGAATTTATGTAGAGAACACGATGTACCGTACGAAATGCGTGTATGCATCGATGAGAAGCTATTCGTCGGTTCGTGGTATCAGGTGGTTGGTCGCGATTCCAATCGCAGACCATCCATAAAACCACACCCCACCCTCATCGATCAACCGGATCCGGTGGTTCTCGCGTACGATATCGAAGTCACTAAATTACCTCTCAAATTTCCTGATTCATCAATCGATGAAATCATGATGATATCGTACATGATTGATGGGAAAGGTTTTTTGATCATCAATCGACAAATCGTTTCTGAAGATATCGAAGACTTTGAGTATACACCAAGACCTGAATACAAGGTTTCTT